GAAGGTCAACATTGTTAGTATTGCAGCTAATGATTATCCAAAATCATTCATTGACATTCTTATTGGTATTAAATGAAGTCAACATTAAAAGAAAAATGATGAAGATTTAAATCTCTCTATATTTGAATGTGATAAGAAACTTATGTATGTTGAAATTCTATTATATTAAACAAACAAAGTATGCAATGAAAAATAAATCATACATCTGTAAAAGAAACTCCATCCTAATCTTGATATCCAATTCTTCACAACACCACTACCATATGTTCGAACATTTTTCCAAAACAAAGATCCAATTATCAAACACATTCAATCCAATTTTGTCTACTCTATCAAAATGCTGCAGTTGCAGACAAACATGCATCGACAAGACGGAAAGATAATCTATGTGACGAATGCGTGGACATGGTGCATCAAAAAACTGCATTTGATCAATCCATTAAACAAAAGCAACACAGTAGAGTCAATGTGCGTAAATCAAATGGACATTCCAAGGGCGTACATTGTAACTATCATATCTCCATCATTTTACATCCTAAAATTATTAATCTTATATTATGGGAACAAGCACAAAATTGTGTATCTTCTCATATAAATATCGTTCGATTCCTCATCTTCAACTGTATCATTTTCTAGCGGTTCAGCTTAATCGATACTGATTTCAATTTTTTATTGAATTAATAAAAAAATACTCAGCGTTCGTTTCATGTGCCCTCCTCATAAAGCAAATATACCAGCCAGGCCCCGCGCGAGCGGGGGTTTTAGGGGAGTGTGCATCCCCCCCCAAAAACCAAAAAATTTCAGTTTTTTCCGTTCACAAATGCAGATTTTGTCTACATTTTATAATTTTTCTGCAAAATTTTTCTGAAAATTCTTCCTTACACCCCCCCAATCCGCCGTACACCCCCCTAATATTTGATCCTTCGCGCGGGCCCTGATACCAGCTATTATAACTGAAGATCAACCACTTTTCACTGTCTTCTTCATCCGTCATAGATTGACATCAACATTCACTTAAACTTCCGCTGACAAATATTTTTATAATTCCTACAGATACAACATACTAGCAGTTTAATTAGAACATATAAAAAATAATTTCGAAAAGATGCAATTTCTTTGATTTTTCATCTTGCAAGAGAAACTGTTTAAAATTTCAATATCTCATAAATAAAGTAGATGTATCAAATGAGAGACCAAACGTTTTAAAGAATCTAGACCTAGTTTTATTACTCCGAGAATCAACATTGAACCTTAATTATTTGTTACGATTTAACTTTATTTTTTATCACAATTCAATTTTTCATACCTAAAGTTCCCCTCAAGGATATTTAAAAAAATGATCTTCATTAAAACAACTATTTAACTATCTAGAAACCTCTTCTTTTATCTTTAAATAATATTTTACACGTCGAGAACTACGTTTTCACTGCCAGAATGGTTTTGTTTATGAAACTCCCTTTTCCATATATGCCTGAGGAGGACCAAAGATGAAAATTTGACCAGAAAAAAAAGTCACAGAAACAATGTGAAACGTACATGAGTTGACTCAGCTTTTTGTGCTGATTTCAAATATTACATTTGTTTGAAGTAAAATAAAGTATTCTTGCTCGAAAACCGGCGAATATTAGTGGAAAAAGAGATAAATTGACAATCTAGTATTGTGGTCAAAGCAAAAGGGCTTTACTAGACATCGAATTTCATGTTGGAAATAGTTTCACCCGAAAGAACACATTGCATTACATATTCAGTAAAAACAAAATGTTGCTGATGCACCCGTAGAAGCTATAATTTCATGAGACTGCAAAAATCATTCCTACTCGCAATATGATCCAATAAGAATGGTATTTGACATTTACCGATAGAAAACCATTTGAATGCCTAAAATTTTCTTACGGATTCTGATAGAGAAAGAAATTCTTTATCAAACGGATCTATTGTCAACGAATATATTTACGATTTTAATGGAGTTTTTGGTCAAAAATTAATTTTTAAAACTTTCAGAGAGTGTTTCAAATCTTTCTTATTATCTGAGTACCTTTTAGAAAGCACTGTCATATTTTTAATCAGGACACCTGACGCTATCGATTTATAAAGATTTCTAATAAAACAGCGATAAAAAGAGTTTTCAATTTCTGCATAGGACCCCAGGTGTGTAAAACTAAGTTCTAATAAAATACACAATAAAATCGTAACAAATAATCAAGGTTCAATGCTAATTCTCGGGGTAATAAAATTAGGTGTAGATTCTGTGGGACGTTTGGTCCATAATTTAACACCTCATTTATACTACTCTATGATTTGTCGATTATCATTGGCATGATACATGTATGACCTCGTACTGTTTGCTTTTCCTACTGTGTTTTCACATTTCTAGTTATCAAGGATATTATCATTCGTACTGATATTTTTCTTTATTTTGATCACATACTTCTTATCATCTCTACGATATGCATCGAATTTCTTATGACGTTCTCATCGCGCGAAGCTTTAATGTCTGACAATGTCCATCTTCCATTGCGTACACTCTGCAAGCGAATTACATTACTGAATGATTCTAATGGATTTCTTCTCGATAGTCATTCAAAACGTGCATGTTTCTATCAATGGCTAAAAAAAATCAAGAAGTAATATAATATTAAAGAAGAAAAATTAATTATAACTGCTATTACTAGTTTAATTCTAAGTTTTTTTTGTCATTATTGTCTTAACTCAGTTCTTTCGACTTGATTCCTTCAGTCATTTGACAAAGAAAACAATATTTGTCATTTGTTTATACTTATTCAATAGCGAAACATGTTTAAAAAAACAATGTTGAAATGCTCTACGTATATAAATAAATTTTAGAAACTAAAATCTATTCCTCAATGATAATTTGAAACAAATCATGTCATTTGCGTTGTATATAATGTCTGAACTACTTCTTATGGAACTCAGAAGTCACCTCACATTATTAATTGAAATCAAAGAAGGAAAAGTTAATTGAAAACAAGATATAATTATTGACAATCAATAATTTTTCAAACAGGTCTTTCTACAAAAAGGTTGCTTTGTAATATGAGGGAACATTTTGCAGTATAAGATCGCCAAAGTAATGGCCACCGATCGTTCCCATCTTTTCAAGAAACTATTTCGACTGTAAAATATAAAAATTACATGTGAAAAATATTATTTTTCAGATTAGTTTTGTATACAAGAAAAATTGCCATTACTGATCTTGAAGAATAAGAATAGTCATACTAGCTGAAACTTTCGAATCGGTCTAGTTTTATAAGAAATCCCTCTGAGAAAAATTATTATATGTATTATTATAAAATCGATCTCACAAAAGAGTGAAATGGAACGAACGCTTTTTGAATGACTTGAGCAAAACTTATGTGTCTTACTATTGTGTATATTAGTGTACTCTCTTAATTTCTATTTAGCGTCCAATATGAATCTTCTTTTCTGTATACTATAAAGAACAATAGTAATCTCTACTATTTATCACTATATGAAGAGTTCTAATTTTGCCTTTCCTTGAATAGCAAGAAACGTGCACTACGATGAAATTTTAGGCTGTTGGTTTATATTTTCTCCTCTTCTGCAGGACAAAAAGACAGCATATTCTTACGCTTCTTCTTGTCACTCTCTATGGACATTTTTTTGTAAGAAATGAAGAAGTGAAGAAGACTTTTAGGAGCAGTAATGTATGTTTTATAATTGTTAAGGCAGCATATCTTAGTATCATGAATTTCGTCCTAGGTTCTTCTTGATTTTATAGTACATAAACTATAGAAAATGTTAACATTTACAGGACATCTTGAGCTGGCCACGCTAACAATCTTGTTATATCAGAGAAGTTGAACAAAGAGCACCATAATTCAGCCCATTGCAGGGTGTAACAAGCAAAAACAACTCAAGAAATTTCAATCTGAAATTTCGACCAAAAATACAGCCCATAGCGCTAATAATATTTTGAAATTTTCAATCAAAATGGATGCTCTATTACCATCATGATAAGTGAACGAAAAAGGTCTTTTCTCGCAAAAGATACGAGAAAATCTGATTTTTTTAACCTTCAATATCTCGAAAAGAAACGATCTATTCTGTGCTGAAATTTGCCGAATATTATAAGAACTATGAGGTTTATTTTTAGACGAAATTTCAGATTGAAATTCCTTGATTTATTTTTGCTCGTTATACCCTGCAATAGGCTGAAGAACTAGGGCTCATGCAAAAAATTCTTTTAGAGTTTTTGTCTGCACTATGAGTGCTACCTATGAGCAAGATATGAGCTCAAACGGAGTGTATCAGTTGATGAGGTTCCCTCGTCCATCATTAAAACTTTTCCTTTTGTTTTAAGTGAATAATTAACAGTTTCTTATTTCTATCTTTCTATAACACTCAGAAACTGATTTTGTACACAGTAGACGCACGATCTTGTGCCCGGTATAGTCAAATAGTATGAAATTTTCAGCTTTATACTATAACGTTTTCGGAACACCTTCAACAAACAAGGGTCACATATAGATCATTTGACAAGCCAAAATTTTCTATGGACTTTCATTCTATATATTTAACTCTTTTTCTGTTTGAACTCTGAAAAAACTCAAAAAGTAGCTCTCTAACTACAACATTACTGTTTTATACGATAGTAACAAAGATTAATCAAAAGAAAAACAAGGGACTCTCAGGTTCTGCATCTTGATATACTGTTTCGAAGAAAAAAGAGTAAATATGTAAAAGAAAACTCCGCAGAGAATTCTTGGTTGCGCGATCCAATAAAAAGCATATTTTTCAAGTACATGTACATATCAACACATAGTCTATTTTCATCACTGCGAAAGAAAACCGATTAAATCTATTTTCATGTTTAATAAAATAAAGCTTATGCTTATCATTTTTGTTTATTTTTTTCAAAATGATTGAAGTTTATTATAGGTCAATAATGAAGAAATATATATATATATATTTAATAGAAAAAAAAATAAATGTTCTCCAATCACAATTGATTTTTTTTATCAAAATTTGTGATGAATTTCTTGAAGTTGTCTATTACATCCTGTAAAATCTAATGCAACAATTGATCGATCAACAGATGCAAATAAATATTCAGATGTAACAGCTAAACTATGTACCGGACTAGATTGTTTTGAGACAAAGTAAACGTTTTGTAATTGACGTTGTTTTCGATTAACAAGACGTACTGTTGAATGATGATTACCACCAAGAATTATTCCATTTGAAACATAATTATTATCAACTGATACAGCTAATGAACAATAATCATTACCAAAATCATCATTAAATGTATAATGACATTGTCCTGTACGTATATCAAATTCTTTAAATTGGTTGTCAAAACCAGCTGCAATAAATACATTTGATGATGCCCATTCAATACAACGAACACCAGCACCAAGACGATATTTAGCATTGTAAAGCTAAAAAATTAAGAAGTGTCTTTTTTTTCGAATTTTTATCTACAAGAATAAGCATTACATGTATTGGTTGAGCTTTTTCTGTATTAAATAATACTAATGGATAAAGACTTGATGTACCACCGGTACCAATAAGAAAATACTTTCCATCACTCGTAAAACGACTACATAAAACACGATCATCAACTCGTGTACGCCATATCAGTTGATTAATTTGTGTTGACATATCAAATGTTCTCACTTAAAAATCAAATAATTGTAAAAAGAAAAAGATATGATAATAGAGAGAAGTCTTCCATTTTTCTGTACCTTGACTAATATGCATGTTGGAGGCCTGAAAGTTGTGTGTGCACATATTGCACCAATCCCTTAACCCTAGTCGTACCGGCCTTTTTAAGCACTATACTGACAACAAATGTTTTCATAAAGTGTTTTTTTTTTACTTTTGGATCAGTCTCCTAATGAAATATGCTGTTTTCATTTTCGATCTGATAGAAAAATTATTAAAATGATATTCTTTATTTAGAATAAGTAATACAAAAAATACGTGTAACAGAATGCTCATTACAAACAAACTCAGAACAATTACAACATTTAGTTGAAGTTTTGGGTGTGGGTGTGCGTGTGAATTCAGAGAAGACCCACACCCTATAAATCATCTACTATGGTGATTGATAGCTTGAAACTACTAAAAAAAATGTTTTTTAATGAATTGGAAATATATATTCACTTAGATTAATGAATGAGTTATTGAATTATAGATTGCAAGTTTTACGTTTTCTCCTTTCTTGCTATATGTTTGTTTTATACTGAAGACATGGTCTTGTATCAAAAGCTTGTAATGATGTGGAAAACAAATGTATTTCTTTTTAGATTCAACAACGCATATCTACTCGTAAGGGATGCTAGTTCCTTCTAAAAGTCGGGAAAAAACAATATTTCTAGTGTATTTTTAAATTTCTCAGTTGGGTCAAAAATGGCCCCGGCTGTACTACTAGGGTTAAACACAATGAGAACTATGACGAAGGGTGCCTATCTTTGTTTCATGCTTTGAGCCTAAGAAAACTTGTCTACCAAATTTTTCATTATATCTTATGAAGTATATGATTGTAAGCCTCTAAGTCTTCTTATTTCTCAGAGTTATGAAGTTAAAAAGATAAATAGCTGCGATCCATCATAAGTCTCATTTCGTTTTACCTGGTGGCGGCGAAGTCCGTAAATCTACGGTTTCAAAATTTATTCAGAGAAAAATGACCTTAATTATATTAAAATAGGATACAAGATATACAATGGGGACCAATTAAATTTTCCCCCTTTGTTTTTTTTTTTTGTTTTTTATTACTATACTTTCTTTGTTTATTAACTCACTATATATAAGGAGACAGTCCGCAACGTGCTGCATCTTTTGGCATAATTATGCTGAACACCGAATGTATTTTTAAGTGTAAAAAGTGTATTAGACAAAGTAAAATTTATTTTTACTACACGACCATCTGCCCATAATGTTATAAGCTTTTTTATTTCACATATATCTCGAGTTAGGTAAACGATGAAGCCTTGGATTTTTTTTCGAAAGGTGCATCTTGAAAAGCTCTATAAAAACTGTATGATTGAGTTCCTGTTCTAATGGTTTTCTAATACTCAAAATGAACAACTTCATGAGTGTCACTTCGCATCATACTAAAAAGTTTCGAAGACTTTTTTCATCCACTATAGGATTTGGTGGATATAACTTTTGTAGAGCTTTCGGCGGCACATCTTTTAAAGACAAAATCAATATTATATCGCTTTCTCAAGTCAAGATATATGCAGAACAAAAAAATCTTCCAACATTTTCAGTATGGTGGCAAGTGACCCTGTCATGTAAGTCGTTCATTTCAAGTATAAGAAAAACCATTAGAAAAGGTAAACAGGCATTCAATCATACAGCTGTTATAGAGCTTTTCACAATGCATCTTTTGGAAAAGAATTCAAGGTTTTATCATTTACCTAACCCTAGATATATGCGAAATAAAAAATCTTACAGTATTATGGACACTTTGTAGTAAAAGAAAATGTCATTTTTTTTTTGTCTAATACACTTTTTACACTTAAAAATACATTTGGTGTTCAGCATAAATACACCAAAAGATTCAGCGCGTGCTGGACTTTCTTCCTATATATAGTGAATTAATAAACAAAAATATAGTAATAAAAAACAACAAAAACAAAGGGGGAGGGGGGGGGGAATTCAATTGGCCCCCATTGTAATTCGCTATGGTTAGGCATAGATGCTGAGCCATCTAACGTAATGTATCATCATGAGTTCATTTGGTATTATTTAGTTAAGCTATTATTCTAGAATATTCTATAGACATACTATAAATAAATACATTTATAGTACAAATAATATGAAGCAGTCAGAAAAAAAATTATAAAGAAACAATAAAGATTTGTACTGTATATGCTCCTACTAATAGAAGATTAAAGAAGAAAGCAGATTTGCATTATATATGTTAAGATTATAATGAGAACCTTTGCGTGATTGATTGCTTTGAGGAACTTTACACTTTATTGCATTTTTAGTTTCTTTCTTTCTTATATGTTTTCTTCCCGTATTTTGCCTGGTAGTTGTGTCTAAGAATTTGTGTTTATTTTATTTTTATTATTCAAAAATAAACTAGGTATATCTTTAAATATGCATTCTGTAGAGCGATTATGATCGTCAGCAATATCCAAAGCACAATAAACTTTGACAATGAAATTTCATGTTCTTTTCTAAAAAAACTCCGCCCACAAAGACTTAAACAATTGAGATAAGTTCTTGTTTCAGGCGTACATTCTTAGTGAATTATGTGCGCACACATTTTCCGATCTATAATGCATGTATTGCAATCGAGTATAGAAGGTAGGAGGCTTAAGTTTACTACTGTAAAAATTTTTCTTTTAACTTACTCGAAACTGTATGATCACGTGAACCATTTAATATTAAATATCTTTCTTTATCATTTGAATAAATATCTAATGAAAGTATATCATTACGTTCACTGGGTAATACTTGTTGTAAATTTTGATCATTATAACATGAATAAATGTCATTTGTTTGTCGACATATAATTCTTAATAGATTTCCATTAGCTAAACAAATTAAATGATCATTATAAATTTTATAACAAAGTATATCATCATGATTAAATTCACAAGAATAATCAATATGATTTGTATGTAAATTTAAACAACGTAATGTACAATCATGTGTAAACCAAAGTTGTTGATTATGTTCATCATATTGAAGTATGGACGTTTGAGCACGACGAACAAACTTTATTAATGTATTATTTATATATTTATTTTGTTTATTCCAATTATATGCTAATGATATTAGATAATGATAATTATTAATAGTACGATTTATATCACAATCGAATTTTGAACAAAGATTTAAATCTTTCAATGGTGACCGATAATCATTTGAAAGTAAACGAGGAAAATCATTTGAACGATCAAATAGAATTTCATAGTGATAATCAGCTGGAAGATGGAATGGATGTGATAAGATGGTTGAATCATGACGAACGTTCTACAACAATATATTTATTCTTTTAATTGATTGTTAGTAGAGAATGACGGAAGATACTTGATGTTTATAAAGAAGATTATTTGATATTAATGAAGAAAGCTCACCAAGTGATAAATCGCTTTTTGAGATAGCACACTGTGCATTCGGTGAACTCTGCTGAGATTAGAAAAGTCCTAAAACAATTTGCATCCATGTACCTTTCTTCTTGGGTTATAGTCAATTTGGAAAGTTTTTCAGCAAAATGCTTTGTTCCCTTTGGATCACCTTTGAAATCGATTTCCAAGTTTCGCGTTTGATTTTTGCACAAATAAAGTTTTAAATGCAACTAGTTTATTGTGAATGCGTCAACCTTTCTATTACCTTATTAATAAAAAAAAGTTTACTTTTTCATATCATAGAATTTTCAAGATTAGTACCTGACAATAGGAAACATTATGAAATCGAAAATTTCCTCAATGGCTTAGTCTCATTGAAAAGTTCTTTTATGCAATCTTTGAACTCAAAACTTGATGTAGAAGATGACTTGAAAAAAACTGCAGCATTTTCTTGAAAAAATATCATCATTCAAGACGAAAAACTCATGAGCAGGAATTCTTTTATATTTTCTCTAATAACACCCATTTGAAAAGCAATTTATCACATAATCAGATGCCCTCATAAAGCAATGGTATTCATTACACATAAAGTATTTCTACTCTTCATTATTCCTATTTTTCACATTTATTATATCACTCTATCTGCCATAAGTACAAATGATCTACGCAGCTATAAGTTGCATTGATTAGTATAAAATCAAACTGGTTGAAATTTTTTTTCAATATACCAAAACAATTTCATAAATATTTACAAAGTAAAATCTATCTCACCTGAAATGATACGCATCCAGCTTCATTTTTTAATAGTGAATATGATACATTTGTTAGTCTAGCAAGTGCTTTTTTCCATGGTAAAGAATAATTATAAAGTATACTATGAAATCTTCGACAGACTTGTTCCAATCGACATAAATCTTTATCAGATACATATCGACAAAAAAAATCGACTAAAACATCATCGGGTAAATCCAAAATTGATATTGTCATTATAATAAATAAAAAAATAATGATTAAATATTATTCGATGCATAGATTCATATAAAAATCTAGAATACGAAAAAAAGAAAAGAACATGAATATTTTAATAATCTATATGTGCATTAATACAATATATAAAGACGAATATGATTAATTTTTCGTTTTTTTGTTTATAAATGAATCAAGTGTTTGATTATTAATTTTTTGCTTATTAGTTTTACGTTTTATGGTTTTTGATGTTTTTATTATTGAATTTGTTTTATTTTCTTCCATTTGTAATTCATGTGCATAATGAAAATCGTCATGTTCAGGCATATTCCACATTAAAATAGATTTATGACATTTGGAACAAGTTATATATTGATCATCGATTTTATTCGGTGAAGAATTTAGAACATTTTCATTTGTTGTATAACGAGAAAAAAATGATGTAATTGATGATGTTGTTGTTTTATTTTCAGATTTTAATTGAGTGTTTATTTGTTCATCAGTTTTTTTAAATTTTCGAAAAAAATCACCTTGAATCGATAACGTTGTTATTGTTGTAATTGGTTTTTCGAGAACTTTTTCTTCAATATTATTATCTTCTTCTTCACCGTCTTCTTCTTGCCAATTAATTGTATTTTCAGTTGATCTTATTGTTTCAACTTTAGTTGTTTGTTTAGAAAATAAATCAGCTATAGATTTTGTATTAACACTATCAAGAAATTTTCCAGCACTTATACCAAGATTAATAATAGCTGGTGTATAGATATTTGATGTTGAAGAATTTTTATTATATTGTTTTAATATTTTCAACGTATCATTAGCAAATCGATCAATAGAATATTCGTTTATAGGACATGAACGAGCTATGGTTTCATTTGTAGTTAACGTACATGTTACTGTTAAAAGTTTAGCACGACGCTTATTCTAGAAAAGAAAATAATTCCTTCTAAGTTATTATGAGACAAGATATTTAACATTTTGTGATGTTGCGAATTGTCTGCGAGATAGAACGTTCCACTTAAATTTTTGTTGAAGACTCGGCATTTTCTCCAAAATTATAATTTTGAAGTTTTAATCAAAAGTTTATTCATACTAATAACTCACGTACACTAACTTATGTAAAAACATTTCAGAATTTTCACACGTTGTTTTTTTTTTAACTAATGCTTTATTTTTATTCAATTTGTATGAGCACAGAAACTAGACCCTAAGTCCCGGTTTCCAATCGTTTTCGCGTTTTTACAAGTAATTAGAGTAAATCAAGTGTTCGAGAAACAGTCGAGTCGATCAATAAACAGTTTGCATGAAGTAATCAATTAGTATAGTGGCGCGAAGATCATTGGCTTTGATCATCGATGACACAGAATAGTGCTCAGGCAGAGTATCAAAACTCTAGAATCGGACTCAAGAGTCAGATGGCGATGCCACTCAGCCAGCCTAGGCAATTTTCACACGTTGTGTCACCTGTCTTTTATACAATATCTATAAACTAATAACTAAATTTTCAAAAATCCAAAATTTCAATATCACTGATCCTAGAAATTCTGAAATATTTTTACACAAGCTAGGAAAGTTAATATACACAAAACTCTTAGGTTAAAATTCGAAATTAAAATTTTATAGAAAACCAAAGACTAGCAAAGACATTGAAATGAAACTCCTATATCTTAGTTCAATTTCATCCATTGCTCGTCACTTTTTTGTGCAAAAATTCTCTGTCTATTCATAAAATACGGAATCAGAAGTTTTGAATGAACTCAAATGATTCCTTCATACAACAATCTTTGCTACAAACTAGACATTAGAATAGTGTACTTGTAAAAACTGATCAATCACAAGTACAAATTGTAACATTGTACTTATTTTTACAACAGTAATCATTCATTTCTCAATAAGAAAACAATTAATTGATATATGGAATGTAATTCTACGTCTAAATCGTATTTCATGAAAATGTTTGTTTATTTTTCAATCTATTAAAAAGTTCAGTAGAAATTTGTCCAGATTGAGTTCGAATGAAAACTTTGCCTTTTTTCCTTTACTGCATATATATTATATTACTGGCTTTTTTACATCGCATTAAAGGCGAAAATGTTCTTCACAACCTGGTATAAAAATCAAGAGTTTCAGAACAATCATTCAGGAATGGTTGAGCTCATTCATAACTTGCAGCAAACTAATCATTAGTATACTATTTTATAAAGAAATGTTTTTCAATTTCTACAGTTTCTTTTAAGAGACTGAAAAAATGAACAAACGTTTTGTCGATTTTTTTTTCGATAAGTTCTTAATAAAATTATACTTTGATAAAATAGTTTCTTACCTCTGCACGATCTTTTTCTAAACGATTAAAAATTTCTTCAGCTAAATTATGACACCAAATACGAATCTAAATAAAAACCAAACACAACTATGTGTAATTATTCAAACTAAATTTAATCTATTTCTTACTTTATCAATAGTATCTAAACATGTTTTCCCAGGAAAATTTTTACTTGCAGAAATTGTTTTATATAAATTTCTACTGTTAACAGCTGTTGTTTCAATACCTCGAGTTAAATTAAATAACCAGTAACCATCTTTTTCACCCATCGATGTTTGTAATGCATCAAGTGAATATTTTCTTAATTGACCTATATATTCAACTTGAAATAATTCCATAACACGTTCACCTGCTTTACCACCTAGACCTTGACTAAAAAAAAAACTAACAATAAAAGTTTTGAAGAAAAAATTTTCGTACATTTTTTGTACTGGTGTTTTATCAAATACATGATCGATATCAGACTGTGTAAAAATCGTTTGTTTTTTAGGTTTATTAAACCCACAACATAATTTAGCTAAAATCTAAAAAAAAGAAATTCTTTTTGACTTTTTAATAGAAAAATAGATTTTTACTTTATTTCGAGCAATACCAGCAGAACAAAAAAATCCTGTTTCATCTTTAACTTTTTTTCGAATTTGTTCAACAAGATAAGCACCAAGTAGAAGATCATAATTTCGTTTATCATCATCTAATTGACAATCATTTAACCATTTATTAAGAATTTCTATTCGTTCATCTTCTGTTTTAGTTGTAAAACCAGCTAGATGTGTCGTTATAAAATCATTTACTGTTAATTCGAGTCTTTTATCTTTTAATTTTTGAACATCTTCTGTTAAATCAATGTAACCTTCATCAATACTTGCTTTTTCAACAAGTTTAAAATTGGCATTAAGTACACGAAACACATCAGCACTTGCATCTCGATATCTTTAAAAGAGCAACAAATTTTATTTATATCTTGAATTGTTTTTTGGGGCAAAAGAACTTTCTTGTTAGTTAATAAGACTAGATATATTCGAATCAAGAGCGTGCAAGAATCGAGATAGTCACAAAATTCTGGCTTCTATTTAAAAAAAAAGTGTTTTTTTTTGTTTGAAAAATACTGTTTCTTATGCAAGTCGATGAGCTATATTCATTTATCACACAAAATACATAACGAGCAGCCTATATTTTAAATCTGTTCGTCTGGTAGTGAAAACCTTCAGGATACACTCTCCCTCTTCCAAGTTTCTGGAGAACGACTCATCAGAAAATTTTTAAATTTTCAGAGCAGGTATATCTTGAAGAGTAGAGCAAAAGCTGTCATCCCGGATGCAGTCCTCTACGAAATACTGGGATCATAATGGTCTCAATTTTCGCTCAGGTTTCTCTGAGATGCTACATACTCGATTGAGTTGAAAATTTTTTTAGAGACGTACTCAACACTGTTTGTAGTGAATATGCTTTTATTTTTTGTGTTCTTCCAACAAAAAAGCGAAAATATCGCAAGTACTCTAAAATGCGCATTTTTTTTAAAAACAAAACGAATATCTACCGTAAACAGTATGTATACAGTATATGTGAAAAAAGTTTCAGCTCGATCAGACGCACTAGGTCGAAGAAATGGAAAACAATATACAGTTTTCGCTATTCACATTGCGTAAATCTGATTCTTAATATTTACAACTAACTTTTGGATTCCAAAATGTATTCAATAGATAAACATTACTACAGACTATACAATGGCCACAAAAACATTGAATTTAATCCATATCTATGTGAAGTTTTAGTTTTATAATGATTTTTGTTTCTTTATTTAATTTTTCTTGTATAAAAACATATCGCCTTTTCATTCAGATTTTTTAAAAACGAATGATTATGGAATATTGCATTCTTCTACTTTTATATTTGTATCGAATGGAATTCTTTGAACATTGAATAGAATATTCTTACCTAGTTAAATTAGCTTTTCCATTAACTTCTTGAACATGAAATACATGAAAATCTGGACAAAGTTCTTTGGCTTGTTCACCTCGCATACCTATATCAAATGAATATTTGATTATTCATATTACAGAGAAAACCAACAAATTCATTTACCTCGCTTAACACCAAAATTTCGAGCTTCATAATTAACCGCAATAAGACTAAACGATATATATTTGTGATCTTTTTTTTCTTCAGAAGCAACCAAAAAAAAGAAGAACAATTTAAAATGAATCACACTTACCCACCTCCTTTCCATGTATAATATTGCGCAACACCACATGGTTTACCAAGAAATTCAGGTTGAAGTCTTTGTTCGACTTGCACATAAAAACAATCCATATCAATTAAGGCTATAACGCGATGATCAGCATTCATTATTTTTTTTTTCCTGAATCTAAAAACAAACAAAATGTACAATCAAATCAAATAAATATTTTTTTATGAATTTCACTGTATCGATTTCAGATAGAATAATTATCAATTGTAGTTTAAATATATATTAATCTTACTTGTCTTATTCTAATATATAACCCATGGATTTAGATAAGTTTATTTAAATAATTGACGAAATTTACAATTTTTTCGTCTTCATTATTATTAAGACATTGTTCATGATTATCTCAAGCTAACTAACATGATTTTTGTTCGACTCATTTTTAATAATCATAGATTATTTTTCAAATAATAAATCTAAAGAAAGAATTTTTGAATTTTTAAATAGTTGAAA